AATTAATTTGTAGAGTCGGCTCTTTTGAGCTTTTTCAGAAATGCCAAGAGATGGATGTTTAACGGAAGGCAGATTTAACGGAATAATGCGTTTTGCACCATTTTAGTATAGCCCACAGACATATTACAAACTGAAGCACACGTGGCCAAACTAAGGCCTTTCATCAGCTCACAGCAGGGGACTGCAGGGTAACTCACAGTAGGGGATTTGAGCCCCATTCGCACAGTCCTAGGTCTATATTGTATGCCTCTGGTCTGTTTTGACCTTGAGACTTGTTGTTCCCTTTGTGGGCAATGTACATCCTTATTTTCCATTTATACAAGCTTACCATTCAACTTTAAAAAAAATGATCAGAGCATATATGTCCTATTATTTGCCACCTTTTGCTGCTGATTCAGTATATTTTCCTAAGGCTACGTACTCTTTACGAAGATAATACTTCTACAATGTCAAGTTTTGGTGGATTGAAATAAAAGAGTTGAATTTCAAACGTGTGGGAAAAGGGCTTAGAATTTTTTTTTTTTCCAATAAAAATTTATTTACCTAACTATTTATGTATTCTTCCAAAATACTACCACAGTCAGTGGAAACTTGAACCATCAACCCTTATTAAATTTCTATCTTGTGGCCCATCACTGTAATTACTTTATATATATACATTGTTGGACTTTACGGGAAAACAAAAATCACTAAAATTAATTTTATGTCAACTGTTGTAACTTTTATGTTTGACAAGTTTGAACTCGACTTTAAGAGTGTTTAGATTCATGGAAACTAGAGGAAAAGAAAAGGAAGAATTTTTTTTTTTTAAAAAAAAAAAAAAAACCTACAGAAGAGGTTGACATTAAGTCATCTTACGCACTAGCTAGTTTGTCTACAAATTTACCTTGTTTTTAATACTATTTAAATAAAATTTGAAAAAAAAAAAAAAAAAAAAAAAAAAACTGCTAAAACTGCTATATGTACAAGGATAAAATTAGTAATTTGAAATTCTTGATTGGATAATGCTTCAGTTTTGTCTTCCCCCTCTCTGGTCATCCACATCTTTCTTTTCCCTTAGCTCCAATTGCCAAACATTCCAAATCCTAATATTTCCTACAAGACCTCCATTTTTTTAGAATAATAAAAATAATTTTAATTCTGAAATAGGTTCATGCAGTTTTTTAGAATCATATAAAAAATATATATATCAAAAATAGTTTTAAAATTACTCAACTTTGAATTTATCTTCTTTTAATTATGTTTCTAGAGAAGAACTCATGGAAAATTATCTTTCTTACCTTTTTTTCATTATTTATAATTTTCTTAAGATAGAAAACTATCCTTAAAAAAATTAAACTATCAATTTCTATTTGTCCCTTTTCAAAATCTACCTCAACTATTTTTTTATGCATGTTATGTATGAAAGTTATTCTTTTTTTCACTTGATTCTATGGCTGAATGATTGGCGGGTGGAGCTAAGGAAAAAAAAAGATGCAAGTGAATATGTGGGTGAGATATACAGATAGGAGCAAAGAGAGGAAAAAAATAGAATAATACTTGGTCCTCCCTTAGGAGGATAAAAGTTATCCTCCCAGAAGTGGTTCAATATAATTAGAACACATGTCTAAAAAAATATAAAAGAATTAAAGGTGGGCATTACCCATTTCTTAAGGGTTAAACCATTTTTTTTCTTTCCTTCCTTCCAAGTCACCATTGTTTGCCTCTCTTCCTGTCTTCCTCTCTCTCCATAACAAAACAAATCTCTCTCTTCCTCTCTTAATCACAAACATAACTATACAAATTATTCTAATAAGTTATTAAGCAATTGTTTGTTTAGTCACTACAAAGCAAATTTGGGCCTTATTATTGCAAACCTAGAAATAGAATATGGATTGAATCCGAAGGATCCCCCACCGTTAGTAACCATCTCTCTCCTTCTTGACTGTTGCTGACTGTCATTAGATTTTTGAATAATCATGTATCAGTATATCAAGAAAAGAAAACTTGCAATAAAAAAAAAAGGATTAGGACTAAAAAAATGATTTGTTTTGTTGTGGAGAGAGAGGTAGATGATGGTGATTAAGAAGGAAAGGGAAAAACAATTAAGGAAAAAATATAAATAAATAAAGAAGAAATAAACGGTTTAACCATTAAGAAATGGGTAATGCTCATCTTTAAACTTTTTTTTATTTCTTAAACATGTGTTCAAATCACATTGGACCACATCAGATTGAGGATGAATTACATCCTCCTTAGGGAGGACCCAAGTATTGTTCAAAAAAATATATCTACCGGGTTTAACCCTTAAAAAATAGATATAACCCGTATTTTGTATTTTTTTAAATTTAAAAGAACCCGTATTTTGTATTTTTTTAAATTTAAAAGAACTGTCAATCTCTTATTGAAACACGTTAGTTTGCAGGACACAATTTGTCCTGATACCAAGTGTCAAATAAGTTAAGACCATCTAACACAATTTGTCCTGATACTAAGTATCAAATAGACCAAGATCATCTAATAATTTTTTCCTCCTAGAAGATGACTGAAGTATTATCCTTCTCAATTTCAAAATATAGGGAGATCAAGCTGGTTACTATATATAAAGTTTTACTAACTTTTATTTTTTCTTTAATAGGGTTGTTGGAAAAGGAAGAGGCATATGACTCGGTTCTAAAAGCAGATTTTATCCGATTATCCTTATTTCAAGGTACTATCTAACCTAATTGGCGTCTAAGTGTGATTTTCTGTACTTATCCAAATCTATTGGTCCACAAAAGGTCAAATTAATAAAACTATTCAATTGACGGTCCAGATCAGTCTTGCTTAGAACACTTGTTCATTAAAACAGCGTAGTTAGACCCCAGCACGTTTCTCTCTAATGCTTCTATGCAAAGTCTATATATATATATGTGTGTGTGTGTGCACGCGCGCGCTTTAATTCTTGCTTCTTTATATAGCATTCCAACTCTTCAGTGCGAGTTCTTTTCAATTTCAAAGGTTAGGGTTTTTCTGCTTCTATCTTTTTCTTTCTTTATGGGCATGTTATGAGCATTGATTATAGGATATAGATACACGTACACAAATTATACTTATGTATTCAGTGAATCATATATTTACATTAATTTGTCTAGATTAACTAGTTCATGAACTCTGCTTTAATGGGTAGAGCTCTAGACGTACACTCAATAATATATATATATATATATATATATACACACACATTCAATGAATTATATACATGACTAATATATATATATATATATATATATATATATATATATATATGTATGTATATATACTCAATGAATCATATATTTGCATTAACTATTGAGAATGATTAGTTCATGAACGCAGCTATTACTGGGTAGAGCTCTAGAATTACACTCAATTTTTTCAGCTCATGCATGTGGTTTTTATTTTTTTAAGGGTATATATAGAACTTTTTTTATAAAAAAATTTCTTTCATGTTACAAATTTTAAATTATGGACATGGACTTGATATCTTGGAATTAGTCAAAGGCCTGCTTCATATATTTGTGTGTATATAAATTATATATAGTCTATTTTTCGTTTTTTGTTTTGGCTTTTCTCCTTGGAACGATGTGGATGCCTATGTTGCTCTTGTACATAGTTGTTTTGAGTGAATGAAATCTTAATTACCAAAAGCAAAACGTGTATTCAATTAATTAACTTGTGTGGATTGCTTGGTTTTCTCAGCTTCCATGCACGTAGATGGTGTAATTATCAATCTCTCTCTCATCGTTTTTAACAACTGTGTACCATATAAATGATGAATTGTTGTTTGTGAACTGTAATGAATGTACACTTTTCCGTCATCCGGTATATATGTGTGTGTCACAAGTATTTCATTGGCAAAGCTCTCTCCCTCTTCTTTTTGGTGTTGTGGTGGTGTTTATGCATAAATAGATCGAAGGTATGCACGTAACCATTTTTTTTTTTTTGTTTTGGGTAAAAAAATCAATTTTACTTTTATCTTGCTGACTTTTTAATGTTTGTATACATACAGGGTGGAGCCAGCATATGTCTAGGGTTACATGCCCCTTGGCTGGCCCCGCCCTATATAATACATATGAATTTTTAAATTTTTTTTTTTACATATATATAGATAGAAATTTGTATATTATGCCCCCTAAAAATATTAAGTTTTCAAATTTTTTCTTAAATTTTCTTTTTTTTTTTTTTTTTTTTTTTGCTCATTTGCTCTTTAAATTTCTTTAATTTCTTTTTTTTTTTTAAAAAAAAGTCAAAATTTTCTTATTCAATGATACTCTAATTTGTTTCTTTCAAAATTCTGTCATTTTTCTTTTCCTATTACTTTTTTGTTTTTTTTACCTTCTTCCACTTCTTAAACTTCTTCGGTTTTTTTTTTTTTTTTTTTTTTTAAGTACTGTGCCCCTTGAATTTAAATCCTAACTCAACCCCTATATATATATATAATTTTTATGAAACAGTTAAAATTAATTGATCAAATCTAATCAAAGTGAAACTTCAGAGTTCAAGTTTTCATAACGATCACATGGTGTGTGTGTGTGAGTTTAACGAACCAACTATCAGTTGTTCAAAAAAAAATTATTGTTATTTAATAACAATGTCACTCTAAACTCTAAAGAGATAAAAGATTATGAAGCCCAATGTACCTGGTATGTGCCCTTAACACAAACACAAACACAAACACAAACTTTGCATGCTGGACCTAACTTGTTCTGGTGGTTACCAGTTAATTACTCTATGGTTGTATAATTATTTCTATTTTCTCTGTATCCATCAATTTTTTTGTGCAATTCTTTTTTTCTTTTTTTAATTGCAAGGTTCCTATGCTCTTATTATTTTTCTTTCTTCTTCGAGTGAAAATAAAAATAATTAACACACTTCTGTTTAGAAACTTTAAAATTCAATCTGATTCTTTGCCACTTTTGTTTCAGAATCTAATTATAATCAAGCTTTGCAAAACCATGACTTCAAAGTTTTCAGTCCCCTTAGTGGGAATACTGTTGTTATGCCTATGTTCAGTCATGGCAGAATCCGAGTACACGAAGTACAAGGATCCTAAGCAGCCCATGAATGCTCGGATCCGGGACCTCATGAATCGAATGACTCTAGCAGAGAAGGTCGGTCAGATGACACAGATTGATCGCGTCAATGCTACACCCGGAATAATGAAGGATTACTCAATTGGCAGTGTCCTAAGTGGTGGAGGAAGTGTGCCACTTCCTAAGGCCACTGCAGAGGACTGGGTTAACATGGTCAATGAGTACCAGAATGGTTCACTCTCTAGCAGACTTAGTATTCCGATGATTTACGGAATTGATGCAGTTCATGGACACAACAATGTCTATAAGGCTACCATCTTCCCCCACAACGTTGGCCTTGGAGCCACCAGGCAAGTAATTTAATATATATATATTTGTTTTTTTTTTGGAATTTCAAGTAAATATTTTCATGACCCAAATTTTGGCTTAATTAACCTGAAATCACACATGTATAGGCTATAACAGTACATCTATAGTTTCATGACAAGTACTAGATATATTTTCTTCTTCTTGTGAAATTTTTTTATTGATATAATCAATAATCTACAAGTAGTAGATTTAATTACCCATAATGTATTAAAAATATGTTTCTCTATTTGCAGGAACTGAATTTCATTTGATGTTTCACATGATATACATGCTAAATTTTGGCTTAATTAACCTGGGAAAAAAAAATGCTTTTCAATGTGCGAGTGTAACTAACATGGACTGGTAATGTTGCAGGGACAGTGACCTTGTGAAGAGGATTGGTGCCGCGACTGCCCTTGAAGCTAGGGCTACCGGAATTCCTTACGTTTTTGCTCCTTGTATCGCGGTATATGTATACACTATAGCTAGTTCAAATCAAAGATCTATAATTTGCCAAATATTTCAACTTTTTACATGTACATGTAGTGATTCTAATCCATTTCACAGCCTAACATAAAATTCTATATTTTTTTCTCGAACAACTGTGAAATAGGTATGCAGAGATCCAAGATGGGGACGATGCTACGAAAGTTACAGCGAGGATCACAAAATAGTGCAAGAAATGACAGAAATCATACCTGGGCTACAAGGGGAAATCCCGGCTGACATATCAAAGGGTGTTCCATATGTTGGTGGGAAGTAAGTATATATATATATATATATATATATATCAAATATTTCTTATGTATGAACTTTCCTGATATAAATGCTGGCTAACTAATTATATAAACATAGAGTATTGCTATATTTGCCGACAGTTAGCTCTCCCTAACTACTCACAGAGGCGTCGGGGAGGCGGTTGTCCTCAATTACATATAAGGGTATTATTTTACTAGACTACAATTAGTTACTGAGGCATGTGTGGGTTTCACAATATGGTGAAGCCCACACGTCTATGTGAGTAATCAGGGAGTCGGTTATCGTCAATTACATCTTTTTTCTTATAAGAGTACCTTTATATTAGACAACAGTTGGTTGTCCCGACTATTCACAAGGCTTGTGTGTGCTCCACAATATATTATTTCCTCTAATCATTCCTTTTTTTTCTTTTATATCTGTGCATTCTTGAAGGGATAAGGTAGCTGCTTGTGCAAAACATTTTGTGGGTGATGGTGGTACAACAAAGGGAATCAATGAAAATGACACTGTGACTGATCTTCATGGACTGCTTAGCATCCACATGCCTGCTTACTACAACTCAATCATCAAGGGCGTGTCGACGGTTATGGTGTCATATTCGAGCTGGAATGGCCAGAAAATGCATGCTAATAGCGATATGATCACCGGGTTCCTTAAGGACCACCTAAAATTCAGAGTATAGATTCAACAATTTTGATAGAATATAGTCATTGAATTATAAGCATTGATCACTGCTAACTTAATACATTTTTTCGTAAAAAAATTTCAGGGTTTTGTCATCTCTGATTGGCAAGGTATTGACAGAATCACCTCACCGGAACACGCAAACTACACATACTCGGTTCAAGCTGGAATTGAAGCTGGTATTGACATGGTTAGTAACCAAACCTCTTGTATTCAGGAGGATACTACAACTTTCTTATCAATGTAGCACGTGTTAAGACGATGTACATATTTAAAGTTACACCATCTCTAATAGCTTAACAAAATCCAAGCAATGGGTATTGAATATTTGATTGTTTTGAACTTGTTTCTGACTTCAAAGAGCTCTCTCTTGGCTGTGTTGTCAGATTATGGTTCCTTACGACCACACCGAATTCATTGATACTCTAACCTCATTAGTCAAGAGCAATGCCATCCCAATGAGTCGTATCGATGATGCTGTTAGGAGGATTTTGAGAGTCAAGTTCAGCATGGGACTTTTTGAGAATCCCTTGGCAGATCTTAGCCTGGTTGATCAACTTGGAAGTCAGGTGATTTGATCTCTACACATGCACTTAACATTCAAATATATTGAGGCTATGTTCGGCTGCATGGAATTGGTAGAATTGGAGAAAATCTTTTCTCCAATTTTACCAATTCTAATTCTAAAACTCCAATTTCATGCGGCCGAACATAATCTGATTGGTTTCTAAGTTTGAACTTACATAAACTAACAATCCTATTTATTTATTGAACAGGCTCATAGGGACTTGGCTAGGGAAGCAATGAGGAAGTCACTTGTTCTGTTGAAGAATGGGAAGAATGCAGACAACCCTTTGCTGCCTCTCCCCAAAAACACATCAAGGATCCTAGTTGCCGGAAGTCATGCCAACAATTTGGGCTATCAATGCGGTGGTTGGACAGTTGCTTGGCAGGGAGTCAGCGGCAACAACCACACAAGCGGTACGTATGCTTCACCGCGACATCATCTTGTCCGGTTATACACTTTTTGGTGTTGTAGCATGCTATTTAGACTCGATCAACAACTTATTTGGAGAGTCAACAACTTAATTCGAGTCTCGTACTAATTTGTTAACTCTCCAAATAAGTTGGTGGTTTCTACACATTATTTCGGAATGCCAAAAAGTTAACGACTTGTAGGAGGACTTAACATTTTTGATAGTGTTGAATCATCGAAATAAATTGTTGAGAACTGAAAATTTAGGAGAGTCGGCACATTAAATCAACCCAAATAACGTGTTGACTCTCGAAATAAGTTGTTAAACGCGCTATGGTGCATATCAAACATTTTTGTACCACAATTTGTTTGACATTAATGATTCTCCTTTCCTAATAACAGGAACCACCATTCTAAACGGCATTTCTGCTGCTGTCGATCCAAGCACGGAGGTTTTCTACAGCGAGAACCCCGGCTCCGACTTTGTCAAGTCCAACAACTTCTCCTACGCCATTGTTGTAGTGGGAGAGTCACCATATGCTGAAACTGCAGGAGACAATTTGAACTTGACAATTCCTGACCATGGTCTAAGCACAATCAGTAATGTGTGTGGAAGTGTGAAGTGTGTCGTTGTGCTCATCTCCGGGAGGCCTCTTGTGGTCGAGCCTTACCTTTCGTCAATGGATGCTCTGGTGGCTGCGTGGCTGCCTGGAACTGAAGGCCAAGGCGTGGCTGATGCCCTCTTCGGGGACTACGGATTCACTGGAAAACTTTCTAGAACGTGGTTCAAGACTGTAGATCAGTTGCCAATGAATGTAGGGGATGATCACTATGACCCACTCTTTCCCTTTGGTTTTGGACTCACAACTGAGCCAATTGTGGCAAGTTAGAGACCTTTATCACCATTTAGTATTTTTATTCTTTTAGTAACCGTTATTACCCTTTTTGTGGGGTTAGACAGCGAGAATGCTCTCTAGAACACTATATACATTTTATTTATTTATTTTTTATTTTTTGAATCAAGAAGAGTGACACTTGTGTAGAGAAGCTTAAAAAATTCTCCAGCAGATTGTGAGGGAAAAAGTAAAAGATGTTTGGTAGTATCAAGCTTGGTGGTTATGTACATTTTGTTTGCAGATCTAACTTTTAGAGGGCATTTTGGTATTCTTACTTGATGTTTGCCTATTTCTGACGCGGTAATTTTTGCAACTTCATATACATTAATCCTAATTTTGGGTAAATCATCTTATTTATTTATTTATTTATTTTCCCAACAAAGGAGAAGGAATTAGAAATGAAAAGAGTCTGGTCCCTCGAAACATTGTTTCTGATTTGAATGAAAAAAAAATAAAGGATTTCTTCTTCTTCTTTTTATCCCCTTTTTTAAATAGTAAATGAACTTTTTTTTTCTTGCCATTTACTCGATGAAATAGATTTCTTATTTATGCTTTCACAACTATTTTTTTCATTTATTTTGCATGAACAAGTCAAAACTTGTTCGAGAAGAAAATAAAATGCACTCTACTCTTTCATTTACTCTGTGGATGGTGTAGGGGCCCATGGATGTGAATTTTATTGCTGGATGATGAACCAATAAAGCTATTTTATGAAAGCTAAGCATTTCTCCTTTTTCTTTTTAAGGGACTTCAACTTCCAACATTTAAGATTGAATCTGACAAATACCACTTTGGTACTCACCACTCCAACTTCTAAGAAGAGAGAGAATTAACTTGAAACTACTGCCTAATAAACAACTTGGTTTTTGGAGTGGCTGTAGATTAAAAAGTTTCTTCTTCCTACAGCTTTTCAAAATCCAACATGTTAAATATAAAAATGTAAACCATATTCATGCTGATAAATTGATAGGAAAAAAAAAAAAAAAAAATTTGTTTTGTGCAAAAAATTTCCCTGATTGAGATATACATCTTGATTAGTGCAACACTCAAATATGATTTAGCAAATCTAAAAATCAATATCTACTTATCCATCGTTAGTTTAATAAAATGTAACAGTACGGAAAGAATCACAAAAGTATTCTAAGGAATATATGGAAAACATATTTGCGAGTTGCACCCCTACTATAAAAGGTCATTATTCACTACCTACCAACAGATCGTGTCAAAGCCGTTATGTACATTATCATCCGTCTTAATTTCTACTTCCCCAGGAACTATACCAATGAAATACCACTTAGACTTTGCCAAAAAGAAACAATGACCGATATTTAATGGTACTTTCTCACCTTACTCGCTATAGGAGGTAAAAGCGGGTGAGCGCATTTCTTGCCGGTAAGGAAAAAAAAAAAAAATGGATTATCAAAACAGGGAATGCTGAGGATAGCATTTTGAATAGGCCCTATAAGTTCAGAAATGACAAGCTAGAAGAACTTCACACCCAATCCATACCTGCCCAATGTAACAAGCACTATACAACAGGAAGACTTGCACAAGTAAAAATCAAACAAAAATATCAAAAGCTTCCTTGCAAAACAGATGCATTATAACCCTAATCATCACTATTGATGTGAACTCAATAAGTTCAGATCCCAACTCTCTAGAGCAGTTCCAACCATTGAGTTGTTCTCCGTCGATGAGAGCCACATTTGTACACAAAGGAACAAGTGTGAAACATAAATCTGTGTCGCATTGATCAGCACCATAAAGTCATCATTCAGCTATAAAAGACAATTCAGATTTAAAACACACACACACACAAAGGCTCCCCCATCAGTCGTCCAGATTAATGAACAATAAATTATCATCCACAGAGCTTCAGTGCACCAACATATATATCTAATCATATTTAAAGCTAGAAGCATGAATAAACTTCAAGAAATTCAGACTAATCACAGCAATGACATCACTTTTATTTTTAACCTTTTTCTTTAGGCTACATTACTACCAGTATAATAGAACCCAACCAATCACTCAAATACCTGTCAATGTCTCCTCAGTTACAAGATTAACTCACTTTTTGGTTTTACGAAGGGCACATGCTTGTCCATTTCAATTACATGACTGAAACTCCTCTATGTAAACTGACATATTACAAACAAATTATTAACAAGAATTGGATTAGATTGAGGTTCTAACCTCATTGAGCATTGTAAGATTGGTCATGCTCAATAAAATCTAATGCTTCTTCCTTGGACACAACATTGACACGGCTAACCCTGTTCTTGTGCGTCACACCATATATCTTGTCAGCAACTTTCACAAGCTCTGGCCTGAATGTTGTGGTTATAAACTGCGTAGTTGCCATATCTGCCAAACGACGAATCATGTCTAAAAAACAAGAGGTTAAGGATCTTTAACCATCACTTAAACATACAACAGTATACAATAGCTGAAGGGAATGCACACAACAGCATTCAGACTGCAGGCTCCAATTTCGTTTCTATGTTCCACTACAGGCACAAGCCAATATGTTTATATAATGAAGAATCAACATATATGAAAGATTTTAAGGCTTTGTATTGCTGTTGAATAGGACATCACAGGACACTGCATTTTAACAAAATTTTGTCATGGTCATTGTGATGTGGAACCAAATCTGTGCAATCATATTGTGTGGAGGTATTGAGGATTGGGGTTCATTTGGACCATGTGTGATATGGATTTGGGGTCCTTGTAACCATGTGTTGAGCTGTGGATCAGGGTCCTTTGGGACCATATTGTGTGTGGTTGCGGCGTGAACGGATTTGCACAAAGTGGCTTAAGACCCAGGCATGCCAATAGAGTTGTGACGGTAGGTTTCAGTAAACAAGATGGTGGTGACTTTCTGTGTAAATGACAGATGGACCAAAGTAAGCGGAGACCCAGTGAGAGAAGACGTTCATGGCAGGACCTGTACGAAGAGATTCAACCCGTTCGAGGCAACTACCAACCTTTGGAATAATTTAAGAGAAGAGACCAGGTAAAGACCTGTTTGATCAATTCTTCTTGAGGCAACCAACATGACGCAGGGACCCTAGTTCCAAATGGAGGTGACTTCCATTGTGGGAAGACGGCCAAGTCGCAGTGACTGAAGGAAGAGTCTGAGTGGTTGGTGACCATCCTATGGAAAGACATGCCTCCACAGTGACCTACGGGAAAGATCAGCCACCAAACTAAAGTCAATTTGTTAACTTGAATCAACCAAAAAGAAAAAGGGTGGGCTTTCTGGGTCGGGCCTACATGTTCTTGGGCTGCCTTTGAAACCTAAGCCCAGGTTGAGCCAAAGCCATGCACGCCAAGTTTCTGGCCTCGATCCATTTTTGGATGACTTTTGTGCAACTATCACATATAGCAATGAGGGGATGGGGAAGGAATACATCAGGTTAGGCGGGAGTGAAAGTGTACTTGACCCTTTCATAAAAAAATGTTACCCAAAAAGAAAAAAAAAAATTGCATCGCTTGGATCCTTCGAAATTATTAAAAAGAGGTGGAACGAGACTCCAGATATCGAGAGACAGAGATAGAGAGAGAGAGAGCATATAACAAGTGTATGCAACAGGATACTTCCAACAGCAGTTCTGTACTGAGGATCCAATGCTGCATCTATCTCATCAAAAAGATAAAAAGGAGCAGGATCACATCGCTGTATAGCAAAGATCAATGTCAAAGCTACCACGGTTTTCTGACCACCTGACAACTGCTTCATTGATTGTGTCTCCCCTTGGCCAGTAAAAGAAACCTGAGATAGAAAGGCCAAGTTAAAAGGAGAAACTTGAGTCAGAACGACTGTGAGAAATATATTAATAATGGCATTTTCTAGAAGGAAGCATTGTTTCAAATCTCAGACTGATCTTTCAGTCTGCTTGCAGACAAATCTAGGACACAAAGAACTATGGAGTTGGTCATTGCCAATCCATTTGTTATGTTGTGTTTCTGTACCATCAGCCAAATATATGTTCACTTGTGGAAAAAAATAAATGCCTCTTAAAAGTAGATGCATGCCTTCACTTTCACACCAATGTATTTCTCCACCCTCCCCTCCATATCGGCTGTGCGAGGCCCATCCTCATCCTGATCGTCATCAACCTGATCGCCGTCCTGTAAGAATAAATCGAAAAATCACGTGTCCAACATTTTAATTGCAAAAACTCAAATAGCCAATTTAATACACCTAAATTTTTTGAATCTCAAAATCTCTTTCTTATTCAATTGGTCAGAATCTTCAAATAGTTTTTGATTTGTAACAGAATTTTCCTGAATCTGGAAGATGAGATAAAATACCAATTAAAATCAATAACAATACAGATCCAGGAAAGCATATATTCCTCCATCGTTACCTTGTCATAAATGCAACAATCACTCTGACAAGGTTGAACAGAGAATAATAGAAAAATAATTAACAACGTAGCTTGAAAACTAGTGTTGGACTTAAGTATTGACCAAAAAAGCATAAGGCTAACAAGCAAATCAATTAATTATTGTCCAACATCAACCACGTTCATAAATTATCAACCTTTTTTCAGAAGAAACAAACAAATTATTAAGAGAGAATCTTATGGATTTAAAAAATTTCGATCATACAAAAGAATTACAACACCAACAATCCAGAACCCCCACAAAAAAATATATATAAAATATAAAAAAAAAAAAAAAAAAAAAAAAGCCCAGCCCAACATAGGAAAAATGTTTTGACATACTTAATAATGTTCTCCAATCTCCGTCATTTCAAAAGTATTAGACTTCCAAAGAGGAGCTGTGTCCCATGTCACTTGTCAGAGACCGACACTTCTTCAATAACCTTGAACATGTCTGAAATATTTTAAAAATTAATCATAGTTTCAAATACATTGACATCAATTATTATAGACCCGCCAAAATGTGACCATTAAACCTTGTACGTTGGAACTAGGAACTGAGTTTTTTATTGTGGAAACAATTATACTGTATAACTATAAGGAAAAATAAATTGGGCGTTCATATAAAATCTATAAGAAGTTGATTACATCTAAAAAACTAGAAGATATAGGAAGGTTTCATCATAGAAGTGGTTACAGAAATAGGAAAAAAAGAATCATAATTATAAAAGTACATATACATATACACATACCAAAAAATTAAAATATCATAAAATTACTGAGTAGTAAATTACTACGTACATATTTGATGCAGTCAAAGACTAGGCCTGCAGGTTGAAGGGTCAGAAGGTGGACTGGTTTCATCTCTGTTGGAACTCCTGTAGGCCTAGGATTGGTTTTGCTACTTGTTTGATTTTTAGTTCAGCTGTCCCCTCTTTCTGTAATCTTCAAAAGAGAGGTCTGCCTCTTCCTTCTAACAGTCATAACTACTGGAAAGATCTCGATGAGATTAATCATCTCTTCTGGCTTTGGGCTTTGGCCATGGATGTGTGGAACTGGTTCCTCATTCATTGGTCTTAGGTTAGGGTGGATGCTGTTGACTTTTCTGAATTTCCTCTCAAGCTTGCTGTAGACAGGTTCATTAGAGCCAGATTTATTAGGAATGCCTTTTCTGCTATTGTTTGGACCCTTTGGAATGAAAAGAATTTCAGACTGCATGGTGGCAGATCCAAGGTTGCTCAGCAGATTGCTATGGACTATCTCTTTAAGGCTGCATTTGGTCTTGAGTGACCTCTTTCTGATATTTGTTTCCTTATGGTAGTTATGTTATTAGCTAGTTTGCGCTGTTTTTCTTTTTCTTTCTTCTATTGGAAGTGGTTCCTTTTCTTGGGCTTTTTCCTTGGTTTGAAAGTGAGGGTATGCCCTCTCTATTTCTTTATACTATTATGCTTTTCTTCCTTTTATAAAATATCTCATTCAAGGGAGGAAAAAAATCTTATATAGATATAATTTTTACAGTGTGGTGCCTGTGTCCAGTGTCTCTGTTCATGTTCCATACCTCTGCATAAGAAACATCTCATAAGCTTTTTTGCTTTCATTACAACCATTTTGAAATGGTGAATGTAGATGCGAAATGAGTCAAAAGGCTAGAAGGAGCACTTTTATAAGCATTAACCTGCCTGCTCTAGGAAAATATTCCCTCTTCATTTATGCTAATCTCCTCTCAAACCTCTCCACAACCTCATATTAGATCATACATGTGGCAAGCCCAAATAAGATGTGAGGAGGTCTTTCTTAAACACCAAATTATCTATCCAATTTGCAACAGTAGGCACCTCTTAATTACAATCAGTTCTCTCCCTCAAAGCATAACATACTGGAATAATCTCTGCTGCTGCTTGTCAGCAAACAGTGCAGTATTGGCTGTTTACTATTCTAGAGAAGGAGATGTCCTTGTTCTTTACCATTCCATCCCGAGGGATATATTTCAATGTGGTTTCGCCACTTTTTTTGTTCCACATCACAAAGTGACTGTTCTACTTGATTAAAAATTAAAGTTAATATTCTAGATGGTACAAAAGCTGCTTAGACAATACAAAGCAACATAGTATTTAAAAAACCAACAATCAGATTGGTGAGCACAATAACAGAGTAAAATGAAGGTAGTACAAATAGTTGTAAACTTCAACACAAACCTTTTTCTTCATCATCACCAAAAACCCATGACCACCTTGCACAAGTTCAGAAAATACTTCTCGAAAATGCTTAGCTACACCTTTGAAAGTACGTTCTATTGATTCATCCTTCCGTCTATCCAAAACAGATATAAGTTCTCTAATTTTCTGCCAATAGCGAGACACAATCAAAGTGAACTGATTGGTTATCATAAACTTGCACTTCAAGAAATAATATTTGACTGGCATGCATTCAATTAAGTACCTCATCACCAGCATCCAATTCAGCTTGTCTTTTCTGGAGTTCCTCTCGTTGCTCTGTGAAGTTCACATATTGATCAAGTGCCTTTTTATTTACATGGCTAAATTGTTGAAGTTGTTCATTGCACTTGTGAAGCATTTTATACAGTTCTTTTATGCTCCTCCGTTTACACCTATTAGTTGTGCATGTAGAGAAAAAATTAATTTCATTAACAAATATAAGCAGGAGCATGCCAGTGGGACATAATTACCTCACTCAGTAAAATAATAAGTAAAAGCCTACAAGATCAAGCATGCTGATACCAAAAGGCCAACTTACATATGAACTTCCATATATTTCGCATCACCTAAACTTTTCAAATAAGTATACATACGTTAAGAGGATTAGGAGCAAGTTACAGCATCAATATTGATGCAGTACCAAAGTCTTTCTGGTGCATCAATCAACAAAATCAGAGATACTTTTAGCTAGGGGTAGAATGACCACTTTAGAAGCATACAGGCATCTATTACAAACCTGAACAATTATTACTCCCTCCGTCCCCATAGTAGTTGTCCTCTTTTGGTATTAGAACTTTTTAAGGGGACATGCAATTAATGCATTGTCCCCTTTTAAAATTACCAAGTTGTTCTTTCAAGTTTAAATATGTATATTCTCAAGTAAGAAGATTTTTGATAATTTAAAGGGTAATGATCGAAAGATTGCATTTCTTTTGTCACGACATTTCAAAATGGAAAAGTATTTTGGGACAACCCAAAAAGGAAAAACGGACTACTAATATGGGACAGAGGGAGTAATTTTTTGGCACTTCAGCAATTCTATTTTATTGTTTTATGTTGTTCTGACTTTGATAGTTTCCCTATCTTGTTGAAAGGACAGTTAATTTTCCCTCCTACAACTTTTAATGCTCATCACCTATTATTAGAAATTTAGTCATCCAACAAAAAGAAAGAAACGAAGATCCCAATCTTGGAGAGCTTCTTCTTCTTTCTTTCCTATTCAATCTTGAGTTTTGGTTTGGTGGGTGGGTTTTTTTTTTTTTTTTTTGTTTTGGGGGGGGGGGGGGGGTAGGTCGCGGGGGTGGTTAGAGGAATGCAACAAGAAGCAACACTAGTGACCAGAATCCCTCTGGCATAATTGGGGTAAAAATTATATAAATGGCCACTGAACAGGAGATTACTTAGTATTTAATGGCATTAACGACTATAGGTAATTCTATAAACCCATATGGGATGACATAAAAAGAGAATAACATATGACTCAACCATGCCTTCACAAGATATTTTGGTACGTGAAAACTAAATCTAGGCCATATACCATTGAATAATAAGCCGATGTTTCTTTTTTCCCTGCCTCAACTTAGCTACCTTAACATCTTTGCCCATCCTTGCAGCACCTTCAACTCAATTCATAACACTCCTCATTTGTGCACCCAAATTATTTATCTATTGCTCTATACCTTCAAAATAAAGAGTTTTTCCGGGAACATCCGGGAACTTGGTGGTGGGTACGTCGAGCAGTAGGAGAGCAACTTGTCAGGCAGAATGTGTGGAGATTGCTCTTTTGGAGGAAATTTCGTGGCTCCAGAAATCTCGGGCATCGTGGCTCAAAGAGGGAGACCGGAATACGAAGTTTTTCCATAGAACTGCTAATGCTCATAGGAGGAGTAATCATATTGGGCGGATGTGTGTGGATGGTGCAATCTTGACTACGGAGGAGGAGGTGCGAAGCAGTATCGTCTCTTTCTACCAAAGGCTTTATTCTGAGCCTCTCCGATGGAGGCCACGTCTTGATGGTCTTCACTTTGTTTCTATTTCTGCCTTGGAAAGGGATGGGTTGGAAAGTCCTTTTTCGGAGGAGGAGGTGCGGAAGGCTTTAAAGAGTTGCAATGGTGATAAGTCTCCAGGCCCTGATGGTTTCACGATGATATTTTTGTTGGAGAGCTGGGAGGTGGTTCTGTACGAGATTATGGGCACCTTTCATGAGTTCCATTCCACGGGGCGGTTTGAGAAATCGCTTAATGCATCGTTTATTGCCCTTATTCCTAAGAAGGGTGGTGCTTCTAATATCAAGGATTTTAGACCTATTAGTCTGATTGGGTGCATTTACAAGCTCATCGCAAAAGTCCTTGCTTTTAGATTGAGGGAGGTCCTAGACGGAGTTATTTCTGAGTCTCAAAATGCTTTCACTGGGGGTAGACAGATCCTGGACTCCGCCTTGTGAATGTGTGGATTCTAGACTTTGCAGTGGGACTCCTGGTGTTCTTTGCAAGCTGGATATTGAGAAAGCCTATGATCATGTCTGCTGGAATTTCCTGTTCTATCTGTTGGAGAGGATGGGCTTTGGTGAGAGATGGAGGAAATGGATTGTTTCATGTGTTCCCATTGTCAGATTTTCGGTGTTGGTGAATGGGTCTCCTACGGGGTTTTTCTAAAATTCTCGTGACTTGAGGCAAGAGGACCCTCTCTCCCCATTCCTTTTTATTATTGTCACGGAGGCCCTTAGTAGGTTGATGAGAAGGGCGATGGACTTGGGTTTTATTAGGGGTTTCAAGATCGGCCCTGACTCAGTTTAGCAGATGTAGATCTCTCACTTACTTTTTGCGGATGACACTATTGGTTTTTTGCGAGGCAGAGGTGTCCCAACAGAGGTATCTGAGATGTGTTTTGGTTTGTTTTCAGGCTGTTTCTGGCTTGAAAGTTAACGTGGGTAAGAGCGTGATTGTTCCTATAGGGGAGGTTCAAAAGGTGGACACTCTGGCTGCTATTTTAGGGTGTGGGACGCAACGCTTTCCTATCTCGTATTTGGGTTTGCCATTGGGGGACTCGGCCAGGAGGGTGGGAAGTTAGAACCCGGTGATTGAGCAGGTCGAGAAAAGATTAGCTGGTTGGAAAAAGCAATATCTGTCCAAGGGTGGTAAAGTTACATTAGTGAAGAGTACTTTGTCAAGCCTCCCAACGTACTTTCTTTCGCTCTTTCAAATTCCAGCCTTTATTGTTGGAAGAATTGAGATGCTTCAACGGAACTTCCTTTGGGGGGTCGCGGAGAGGAGTTCAAGTATCATCTTGTCAAATGGGAGCAGGTTTGCAAGCCTTTTCAGTTGGGAGAGCTTGGGATTAGGAAATTGGCCCTTTCAACAATGTTCTTCTTGGCAAGTGGCTTTGGAGATTTGGCAGTGAAAGACACAGCTTATGGAGAAGGGTTATTTCGTGTCACTTTGGAGAGGAGAGAGGGGGGTGGTTAGTTAGACCAGTCAGGTCTGCTAGTGGAGTCAGGGTGTGGAGGGCCATTGGAAAGGGGTGGGATGTTTTTTCCAAACATATTAGATTCAGAGTTCGGGATGGAAGGAATGTCCGGTTTTGGGAGGAATCCTGGTGTGAGGATAGGCCATTGGCTCTTTTGTTCCCCAGGCTTTTCAGGATTGCTGTTGACAAACATGCTATGGTTGCTGACTGCTATCGCCTTGATAGCGGAAGGTTGTCTTGGGATGTGCGTTTCCGGCGAGCTTTTCAGGATTGGGAGTTGGATGATGTCACTGGGTTTTTGGCTCTCCTGTACAGACAGGAGGTGGAGGGTACTGGTGTAGATTCCTTGATTTGGGTGCCTTCTTCTCAGGGGATGGGGTCCTTTTTTGTGTGCCTCTCTAGTTTTCATGGTACCACCTTCCCATGGAAGACGGTGTGGATGTCTAAGGCGCCTCTTAGGGTGGCCTTTTTTGTGTGGACTGCAGTTTGGAGTAAGATTTTGACTTTGGACAACTTAAGGAAGCGAAGGCATATCATTGTTAATCGGTGTTGTCTTTGCAAAATTAATGGGGAGTCAGTGGATCATCTTCTGTTGCATTGTCCTGTGGCTCATGACTGTTGGAGTCTCATTTTTAGCTTGTTTGGTATTCATTGGGGTCATGCCTTGGACCTCTCGGGAGTTGTTGGATTTTTGGAGGGGCCAATGGGTGGAGGCTCAGGCGACAGTTTTCTGGAGGGTGACCCCTTTTTGCATTTGGTGGAGCCTTTGGAAAGAGCGGAATAGAAGAGCTTTTGATGAGAAGGAGTCCTCCATTGGGGTGCTGAAATCTTCTATTAGTTGTACTCTTTTTTGTTGGGGTCGGGGGAGAGATTACTCTTCTCTTGAGGATATCGTAGACTTCATGGGCTCTTTGAGTTCATAGGTTCCGTTTTGACTTTGTATAGCTTGGGACACATTCCCCTTTTGAACGCTTTTTAATACATTTTACTTATCAAAAAAAAATGATGCAACCTTACAGTTGTATTAAACAATTCAACAGAGAGTCAATTTAGTAAGGACTTTAAACATGTATTCTTAAGAAGTCTCATTATTCGGACAAGGCGGTCATATTTGATGATGATATTTACTGAAAGTTTTATATTAGATGAGCTGGATACTTATCCTTTCTACTATAAGTTTATTACTATAGCACCCAAGAAAGAGAATGAGCAATGGGGGGATTATTTGATTTTTAAAATAAGGCTCAAAAAAGCTTGTTTATGATGGGAAAGCAATATGATTACGGCTTCTTAATCAATTCTTGAGTAACTGAAGTTTCCCAGATAGAGCATCCTCAATTATGTAAGATGGTAACACTTCTATTACAATGAAAAAGCAAAACTTACTGCTTTCATGGTTGCCAATTTGCCATACTGATTCTAGATGGTGTGAAGTTATTTCTAGTGACTTACACAAGCATTTATTTGGTTATAAGGTTGTACGACCATGTTTCAAAATGGAAAGGGTAATATGTACTATTTCATGTTTTCCTTTCTAGTAGGTAAGTTGAGTTTTATCAATCCTAGAAAAAAAAAATAATAATAATAATAATAATAATAAATAAAAAAGAGTAGAAATGATTTACATGAAGCTTAGGAGGTGCACTATCAAGCGCAAATACACCTCTTATTGACCTAGAAGAAAAAGAGAACTTATGAAACATTTTTCTGCCACACCCTAGAGGTTACACAAGTAGAAAAAGAAAGGAAACCAAAACAAAGACAAAACCGAACTTAATCAAAGACAATGCTCACCAAAGACGCTCTAAGACAAAATGAGAAGACCCAACATCTGAAAACTCAATATCAAGTTTTTCACAACCGGAGGAGAATGATGCAATACATAACGGGTTATAGAAAGAGCAAATTTGAAGAATGCATATTGCAGGATTGTCAGTTTGCATTCAAGATGGGGCCGAATGATTAAGTTATTGTCATATTTTATTTTATGTATCTTTTTTCTTCTCTTTGGTGGTGGGGTGGTCATGTGTTCTAGTAATTTCTAGATTTCAAAACACTACGTTCAATGGTTGAACATGGACCTACTTGTGCATCACATTATGTTATTTAGGTTTTTATACATGGTATTTAGTAGAAGTGATAGGCTGCGTGGTCAAAAGTCTTAAAGTTTCAAACTTTAAAATCATTGTTCTAATTGGAATAGGATATGCCCAGCAGCATATATACGATATACACACACACTCTCCACTCAGCACTCTTTCAGTAACTGTTAAGCCTCTCTTACTTGCACGATGCTTATTATCCTAGATGTGATGCTTGATGAAATCTAGATGTGATGCCAAACTATTACAACTGCTTTCTCCCTTTCCTTTATTTCATCCATTTTATTAGCCTTCAAAATTCAAAAATGTTAAAGAGGATATAAAGATTGAAAATACACTCTCTCTAACTACTTAAGCTTTTAGAGTTGATTGTTGTTAACATGCTGGTCATCCTGATAATTAGAATTGAAAACATGTGTTGGACCAAGAGAAGGCCACACGTGCGGGAGAGTGTTAGAGGATATAAATATTAAATCAAATCTTATTATTATTATTATTAGTCATAAAAAACAAAGAGCTTGAAAAATAACACAAAAAAATAAAGACCTTACTACTGCTAATGGATAATGTTCATTGCCCTTCCTTGACTAGAACCCCAAAACCCTACCGCTCACACCTATACAAACCCTAAAAGTCCAAATTTTTACCAACCTGCTAATCAGCAAGAGAGAGTAGGGGGGAAAAAAAGGAAAAAGCAGAAGGAACTAATCCTAGTCATCCCTAAAAGTGCCACTTTAGCTATCTACAGTCACTTTTGCTATAGCTAGGATGCGTTCCATCAAACATATATAAGAGCATTTACAGTGTGTTAATTGCACTCATCCTACAACAGTTTCTGTCTTACTATTCTCTACACACCTATACTTATCTTCTCCCTTGATAATATATCTTGTGAAACGAGCGGCGTTCCAAACTCAATCAAGTACAAAAATATGATGCTTTTGAATTTGACTAACAAAATCAGCATTGTTACCATCAACAGTCCATCATACATTGCAATTTTGATAACATATTTTTGCAAAAGAATAAGCAGTGTTCATCAAACCTAACCATTGAGAAGATATATCAAAAATATGAAATATATAGTTACTAAAATATTAAAATTAGAAATGAAATAAGCAGACATGTCCCTAAGTACAAAAATATTTTATAGGGCAAAGAAATGATAGGACAAATGCTACCATGTTAGTAATGAAGAATATACTCAATTCAGAGAAGAGTCATACGTTTCAAAAGCATCTGATGATAATGGTCCCAATTCCCTGATTTTCTTCGAGTATTCTTCTTGTTTAGCAAGAAGAATATTTCTTTTACTTAAAAGTTGTTCCAGTTCCTTTGCTTCATCCTGAAGGGTCCTCTGATAATTCTCTTCCAATGTCTGCATTTGCAAAAGATCATCTAAGCACTAGCAACAAAACACTATTGACAACCAGAAATTCAACCATAAAAAAGGACCACCTTTAACTTATTTTTTTCATCTTTGATCTTCCTAAGCTGCTTTGTTCGCTCATCAATAGTTCCAGAAACACCTGTCCATGAAAAATTCAATCGAAAGTCAAATCACAATAACACAAATTAGAACATTGAGACAGAATATTTAGATGAAGTAGTCCAATGTTCTCACTTTTAAGCTGCTGTGTCACATCTTCAACAAGTAATACCGCATCTCTTAGTTCCTGCTTCTTTGTTTCAGCTTCAACGACTAACGTGTCAGTCTCTGCAGACAATTTTACTGCCTCCAACTCTTGCTTCCTCCTTACAAGATTAGTTGACAGATTAGTCTCGAGTTCCGATTTTCTTGTTTCAGCCTATCAGTTAAGCATGTACATGAATGAGAATACCTGTTAGCTTACAATCAAATATTTGAACTTTACAAGATCTCGGCCATGGTTCATTAACAAACCTCTATGCGATTTGTCCTGCAAGTAATAAGCATCTCTTTCAGATCAGTTATTTCAGGGTTTAGTCGCGACAGCAACTCTTTCTCCTCTGGTGTTAAGTGATCAACAAGTTCTGTGCCCATTTCATCTCGTTTCATATTCATATTAGCTCTAAGTTGGTCAATTTGAGTCAGTACATTTGCAAGCAATTTTTCCTACAAACATGTAATGGTATTGACGCGGTTATAATAAAACAGTAAAAATCACACGTGATAATGCACAAGAAGTATTTACAGTTAAAATACCTTCTTCTCAAGAGCTTTAGAAATGGATTCTTTTTGCTTGTTAGCATTAGCAATGTCCAGCTTAAGCTGTTCAAATTCTGATCTATCATGAGCCTGCTTGGCATCATTTTTCTGCTGCTCAGCAACGAGTTCTGTAATTTTCTGGTCTATATGTGGGAAAAATTAAGTTATAACAATTGGAAAATTTGTGATGGGAGCTTGAAAGCCAGGATTCGCACAACAATAGACATGGGACCACACAAGAACAGGTGTAAGTTTCTGTTTCATAAGCAATGGTTGCAATCTATAACAACTTTCATGGCAAATCTAAAGGCTACAACAATAAACAAATAAAAAAAAGTTTGCATTAAATTCCTGAGCATGAAACCATCATGTGCATGTAAATATCAAATAAACTAATATAAAAATAATAATGATAAAATAAATAATAATAAAAAGGTCCTAAAACAGTGAATGCTATTATAGCTAGATAACAAAGACTAAAAAGGATATCTTGGAGCTTAGATCTAACTTTCTCCAGTTCATCTTCCTTCATGTTAATAGACTTCGTATTTTGTCTAATTATATTCATGAACTTCAGTTTCGAGCGCCTATAGTCATAAAATCCACCAGTCATGCCACCTTTCTTGCTCACTTGATCACCTGTAACAGGGAAAGGAAGAAGTTGTTGAAGCAAAATGCAAACTAAAAAGGTCAAATGACAAATAGCATAGTCTTGGTATCCTATAGCAACCTTCCAGAGTAATGCAGTCCAAACCATCAGTGCGAGCAACCCTTGTAGCCACATCCAGATCTCGGCAAATTACTGTTCTAGCAAAAACCTACAAGATGAGCAATCAACAATGAAATCACTGGGAATGATTAGACAGAAACAGAGACAGAACAACAAGAAGAACAAGGAAATGAAAAGAAAATGAGAACAAAATAATTAAACAAAAGGCAATACAACAAAATACTTTGAAAATATTATGTCAGCAACATTTATAGGCTTTGCAAATCCTAAAACAAATAACAACATTCTAAAATTGGTTCTAATTGTTTTAATTTACATAAAAGGATTATTTGGAAAGTATTTTTGCTTTAAAATGATTTATGAAAATTTGGGATGAATTTCCTAACAGAAAAGATCAATTTTGTCCTAAACTGTGAGTTAAGCACCAGCTCACTTTTGAGCACAGGTACTCACCCTAACAGAACAGAGTCCAAGATTTGTCTCCCTCTAACAAACGCATTCTAAGCTTCCAAGATTACTCCATCCATCGCTTCCCTCAACCTCAAAGCGAGGACTTTAGTCATTAGTTTGTATATACTACCCACTAAACTAATAGACCTAAAGTCCTTGGTATCAATAGCCTCCCCCTTCTTAGAGATGAGAGCAATAGAAGGTAGCATTAAAACATCTCTCAAAGCTACCATACATGTGAAAAAAGTTGGCTGCATCCACCACCTCTTTCCTGACCACCTCTCAATTCTGTTGGAGGAATGCCATAGAAAAGGTGCCTTATCCCCATCACCACTCTTCAATGCAAGAACCACTTCATTTCAGTGAATGATCTCTTCAGGTGGTCCCTATAATACACTGAAATCAAGTCAAACTCTCCACCAACTAGCCAGGGAATCCAACTAGAGCTCTCTGTGTACGAGTGTTGATAGAACTATACAATTTCCCAACTGAAATCCTCCTCCACACTCCACAAACAGCCGTCCACTCAGATTTCTCTGATATGATTACTCCAACAATGAGAATTGGCTAATCAATGAAAGAACTGCATATTCTGATCCTATTTTACATGGACTCTTCCAAACTAGGTGAAGTACCCCTGTCTGAGACATTATTTGGACAGGGCATGGGATATATGTCTGACACTTTTGGTTGGATACGCAGCTAAAAAATATATATCTAATAATTTCATTTTATTATATTAGTAATTCAAATAGTGAAATGTCTATTCTAGTCACTATATTACACAAAAACATTACTTTACTCCAAAGAATAAAAAAATCTATTAAATAAAATGAATATTTAACCGTGTTACTTATCCAAAAAAAAAATTGAATTTTTAACAGTGTCCATGTGTCCTTTTGTTTGGATTTTGACACGTCCGACATGTGGTTACATACGTGTACCAAACACCCATACCCGAGTCCATAGTTAGGATCTGAATAGTAAGGAAAGGCAGTATTCTTTCTTCTACATAGTGGATTTCCCGCCTTTGAATTGGGTCCCCTGGTATTTCACATTTTGGGTTTTCCAATTTTGAAATTTGACATCTTTGTGACCAATATTACTTAGTTTCTGTAAATATGTTGTGATTGTTCTTGCTAATAACTTGAAACAAATAACTGAGCATTGAGCAAAGGTGACATCTTCATCGGCCTCTACGTCGATGTCATTGTTTTTTTTTTTTTTTTGGAAAAAAACGACCATGAATTTACAACATAGTGTAGACACATCATAGTTTTATTAAATGGATTATATTATTTAATTTTATAGCATATTTGACGAAATTCATGAGCTTGGGGTTGACTACTATTGAAGAATTTATATATTTAAGTTACACCCTCTCTAACAGCTTAAGCTTTTAGAGTAGATGGTAGTTAACTTAGTATCAGAGCCAACGGTCTCGAGTTCAAACCTCACCGTCACCCTAATTAAAAATTTGAAAAACACGTGTTGGACCAAAAGAAGGCCACATGTGAGGGGGCGTGTTAAAGGATTTACATATTTAAATTACCCCCTCTCTAACAGCTTAAGCTTTTAGAGTAGATGGTAGTTAACAACTACTAATATAATTTTTGCCTAATGCATGATTCTAATTTTTTCAGATAAAATAATACGGAGATGTTTCAAATCTACATGATTTTTGGTTGTTATTGTTGCACCCTAAGAAGCATGAACATGGTACACAGATAAACCAACACATCAAATTCTAAAAAAGTAGGATGCGAACACGGCGTAGACACTGTTAATATAAATATAAATTTTCATTTTTATATCTATTGTGTATCAAAATTATAAAACTTTAATTAATTTATGATTTATAATACGATATACTAAAGTTACATAATTGATAGCAATGAGCAACCATCAGCTACCTATTAACCGCAATACCAGCCAGTCTCAGAAAGATCACAAGCTGCCTTTCTCCGCATCAAGGATCTTCCTAAAAACTGACAAGGTGACCATCCTTCAACCTGAAGCAAACATGCTTGGAGAATTCATCCCAACCCTTCTGCATGCCCTTCCACAAGCCAACTCCCACCGAGACGAGCAACAGAGAGCACCAACCACCTCTAGACTCGCCATGTTTATGGCAAATGACCCTCCTCCATAGCTTGTGTCTCTCCACCCCAAACCTCAACAACCACTTGCCCAACAAAGATTTGTTGAACAAGTCCAATCTCCTCACTCCCAAGCCTCCCACCTGAATAGGTTTACAAATCTGATCCTACCCCACAAGGTGGTATTTGAACTCATCACCCAGGTCACCCCATAAGAATTCTTCTGCAAAATCTTTATCCTTCTCACTACAGAAGCCGAGATTGGAAAGATCAACATAAAATAAGTAATGAGTCTCGAAAGGGTGCTCTTTGGCAGAGTCAGACACCCCACTTTCGATAAGTACTGCTTCTTCCAGCAAGCCAGTCGCCTCTAAAACCGCTACACGACTGGATCCAAGAAGCTCTCCTCGCCCAAACACCCAACGGCAAGCCCAAATATACCAAAGGAAAGGTCCCCACACAGCAACCCATAATTCTGGCCAAATAATCAACCTCCACCGCTCCCACCGAAACAATCTCTCTTCCCAAGGTTGATCTTCAGCCTTGATACCGACTGAAAGCACACCAGGATCTCTCTCAGGTACCTCAATAGACTGACATCAGCATCACAAAACACAATGGTGTCAGCCACAAAAAGCATATGAGAGATCTCCATCTGGCTAGATGGTTCCCTCCCCACCGTAACTCACCCGCTCACCTCATCAGCCTACTGAAAGCCTCCATCACAATGATGAAAAGGAAGGGAGATAAGAGATCCCCATGCCTCAACCCTCTCAAGCTACCGAAGAAAACAGCAGAAACCCCATTAACCAACACTTAGAAACATACCCTCTCATGACATAGATCAAGAAGTCCCAGTTCACGTGGTCAAAAGATTTCTCTATGTCAAGCTTACACACCACCCCCGGCTCTCCACCACTGAATCTAGCATCTACACACTAGCTAGCAGCCAAGACAGAATCCAGAATCCGGCAACCAATCACAGAAGCATATTAGGACTCTGAAATCAACCTGTCAAGCACTTCCTTCAACCTTGCTGCTAGGATTTTGGCTATAAGCATGTACATAATACACACCAAGCTAATAGCACCATTTTTATTATACATGGATCTTAATGCCTTACTTTGGTTAGGCTCGCACCTTACATTGTGCATTGTGCTTAGGCTCCAAGAGACCATGGCACCTTAATGCACCTTGAGCCTTTAATAACTATGGTTATATTAATCTTAAACACAGCAAAATAAATAAATTGCAATAGAACACATATTATTAAGAACACTTAAATCTATTTCTTGTTAAATCATCTTAGAATATTATAACATGCAATTTATGCCAAATTCAGTAATATATGAGAATAAATCAGGAAAACATTTTCTTCTTCTTACTGTTTATTTTCAAAAGGAATTATTAATACAAATTGATGCATCTAAATTATCACATCAACAGTTTTTCTACATTCATCATCCTTGAAAATTTAAAGGGGAAGTTTAAGCTTATCAAAACTAGAAGTCAAGAAATCATACAAAGCAATGTGACATGGACTGGATTACGTGTATGAAGTATGAATATGTGTCTAAGCTTTGGATTTATCAAATTTCCAAACCCAAGTAGACAAGAGACAACTAAATATTCATATCATCTAACATTCTTTTATTTCTAAAGAGTATATGAATGTTTTTGCATAGCATAGAGTATTCAACTTAGGCACTTCACTCATTTTGAAGAATGTAAAAAAAGGAACTTAATAAGAGTGTTTTGTGTACAATTATACAATAAACTCGTTTACTTGACATGGTTGTTTGGTGGATCAAGAAACCTTGAATGTGATAATGAAACATTGTACAAGAAAAGTATTTGATCAACGCTGTAAAATATTTCAACAGAGAACAAGATTGACTCATAGCTCACCTGGGAAAATGCCGGTGCATAATCACGAGAGAATCTCAGTTTCTTTAAAAGAGGTATCACATCTGAACTCTGTGGATAAGTAACCTGTGGGGCCTTCACCCTGTTCAAGGGTATAAACGTAACTCGCCCACCTTTCAAAGCATTAAGATGTCTAATTATTTGGGTAGATATTTCATCCGTTTCCACCACCACGTGAAATAAGCTGTACAAAGAGAACAATAGTCATAGAATACTATCAGAAACAGTAAACACAAAATGAACAAAGAACAAAGTTCACCAGCTAAGCCAGCTGGTCTGTTGTAGGCAAGACCCTCCCAGCACTCCGCATAGGTGGAACATACACAAGATTATGTTCTTTTTTTGTAAAGACAGTAGAAGGCACTGTACTTACCTGTTTCCAGCAGTAACTTCAACTGCAGTGAAGAATTTTTCATCACAGTCGAGCAACTCAAAAATTGGACCAAACACTCCAGGAATCTCATATTCTCGGCATATCCTCCTAACAGAATTTAGTCCTCTCCTAATATCCTGAAAAAATTTCAAGAGAATAAAAGGAAACCAGAATAATCAACATAAAAGATGCAATAATCTTAGAAAATCAAATGAACAAGATTAAAAAATCAACCACTAATTAGCTTTTTAAGATAAAATGAAAACAAAAATACTATTATTGAAGTATTAAAAATAAGTAGTTTTATCTACATCCAACAATACATAAAGATTATTATCACGTCCTAAAAAAAAAAAGGGGGCATTATTTGGATTTACATTTGAAGAGAGAAAAATTGGACAAAGTTTGGGACAAGGATAAATCCATGATTTGACAGTCCATCTATTTTCTTTCATTGGGTTTTTTTTTTTTATTTGGTTTTTAGCAAATTATAAGCTGTAACTTATGATCACAAAGAACAAATATATTCCAGAATCTACAACTCTAATTTCAAGGAATGCTGCTAGATTTTTTATTTTTTTTTGGTTGGGTGGGGTTTAAGTCCTATTAGATTTTTCTTTTTACGTTCTCGTAGGACTACATTGCCTTATTTTGCGAATTGTAAAGGTAATTTGCAATTAGGGAACAGTGAACATCAAGTTTATGATGGCTTTTACAATCTGTGACAATGGTGGATTGGAAGCAAATTTTCAGAACAGCGAATGATGGCCATATTAAAAACACCCTCAATCAGGGGCAAGAATGGAGAGCTTCCTTGTTGGAAAGGATAGGGTTGAGGTTGAGTTTCAGAATCATCGGGATCCAACAAGAGTTGGTATCAGAAATACCAAACAAGAAAATAATAATAAATAAATCAGCAATTAAAGGTCAAGAAGTTAAGAAAGGAAAAATGAATGTGTTGATGTTGTGGGAGGGGAAGGGGGGACAGAAGTCGATTGTAGGGAAGTGTGGAATAAGGATGAAGTCGGGGCTGTAGGCAACCTTCTTGGAGTAACTTTTGATGGTGATCCTGTTCAGGCTGAAGGAATGATATTGATATGAACCAGCATGTTGTTTTTTTTTTTTTTTTTTGGGGGGGGGGGGGAGAGAAGGACTCCATCTAGGAAAGGGGAGAGGGAGGTAAGGAGTTTAAAGGACTCCATCTAGGAAAGGGGAGAGGGAGGTAAGGAGTTTACTATCTGTTGACCATAGGGTTAATCTAAGGACAATCAAAATGTTTTGATGATTACAAACCATTGATGGTGTTTAAGCACGAATGTCTACATTGAGTGTTATAGATGATTTACATTCAAAGAAGATCCTCAATGAAGATCACAAAGATCATTCCAAGTAGTCCTACTCAAGATCACATCTATGGAAAACAAATGATACAAAGGAAGAAAACTAGACTACCTCAAAGCCTACACGATCATGGACAAAGTATGAAGAAAGGGGTAGATAGGTTGGTGAGTGTTTAGGATTTATTGTCAAAGAATTTATGAATCCATTTGAAGCTCATCTATATAGGACCATGCATATCATTCATCATTCATATGCTTCTATATCTATTAGCAATAAACTATGCACTTCATTCATATATTGACATATGAAGTCTTTGCTAAAGAATGAGTTAGTTCAAGTTTGCATAAGCTTTGAAAGAACTCATCACTTGTGCTAAAAATGTTAAGACCATGCACATCAATCACATGATTCATATTGGTCAACGATTAAGGTATAAGAAGCCTTCATTACCATAAGTTAGTAACGGACATTAGGACCCCATAATGCGCATCATGAAAAACTGTGTTTTTGGCTAAGAATGAAAAGTGGCTAAATGTGAAAAATAGATTTTTGAAATAATGACTATTTCAAAATAATTTTTCCTGATAATAACTCCTTATACTTCAAATAGCCTAAACTGATTTTATCAGAATTTATGACCAAGTTTACATTGGTCTACATAAGGATTCATTTTACCAAAAGTATCAGAAATCCAAATTTGTACTAAAACTGAATTTTTACATTTTTAGTTGGATTTCAATTTTCTTATATTTTTTATTGAATCCAAATGGGAGGTACTTCCTTATTTACATTATAAACCTAAAGTAAATGGACGTATAAACATTTACTTAAATATTTTCAATGAAAATAAGGTATGCTAAAAGTCTGGCAGATAGCCTAAACTAAAAACAGAACTGTCATGACAGATTTTTTATCTATCAGCTGACTGGTGAAAATACCCAGAATGTGGCAATCGTTGCAGATGTTGTCATACCTCACCTCTCTGCAGATGTCATTACATACCTCACCTCTACCAACTATATTGACCTTCTCTCACTATAAATATAGGCTGAACTTTGAGAAATAAAGCCACGCCATTTGAGAGACATCATATTGCATTAGAGAGCTTTTGTTCTCAAATCTTCTCTTCATCTCTCTTATTCACTCATATACAAACCTTGAGAGATTTAACTAGGGATTCAAAGGGCTTTTGCTCTAATTTGAATCTTCATAGAGCTTTTTGCTCTATTCTATACTTGAGAGATCTTATTGAGTTCATTAGAACTTTTGTTCTTCACTTATATCATCTTCTCTTATTCATTTGATTCAGAGTTTGAGCTTCACTTATATTCATCAATACTCTAGTTGTGAGCAAAAAATTGTACTTCTATCTTTGAGAGATTTCTTATACTTCTTGTATTTTTACAATCTATTGTAAGGGGTTGGTTTGACCCACCGGGTTGGTGTGACCCAAAGGATGACTAAGGGAAGGTTGTTTTGTTAGCAAGGTGAAGCAAGGAGTTGCTTCATGTAAAGGTTTGCTCTCCACCCGTAAAGAGGTGCACTAGTGGATTGGGAAGTCTCAAGAAGGGTCTTGAGCCGAGGAGTAGGAGTTTCCAAACCTCGCTAAAATCGCCGTGTGAATGTTTGCAAATCTCTCTTCCCTTATCTCCTTTACATTTATGCTATTAATTGCTTATGTCTATATATTGATAATTGCATAATTGTTAGAAGGATTTTAGTAAAATTTGCAAAACTGAAAATTGGCCATTGTTTGTCATAGACTCGCCCACCCCCCTCCTTCTCTCTCTCTCTCTAGAGTCAATACTTGGATAACAATATCGTATGTCAACTATGAAGGGAATAGTGGGGGTTCAAGGGAGAGGGTTAGAGGAATGAGGATGGGGAAGGAGAACATTGGTGTGCTCGTGAAGTTACGCATTATTTCATGGAATGACCATGGTCTCAATGACCCGGAGAAAAGGAAGGTGGTGAAATTGGCGGTTCGTAAGTGGGGTGTTCATGTGGTGTGTTTGCAGGAAACAAAATTTAGGTCGATTTTAAATAAGGTGGTTCGAAGTCTTTTTTTTTTTTTGGTTGGGGGGGTTGTGGATTGGGTGGCGCTTGATGCTATGGAGTCCTTAGGGGCATTTTGGTGATGTGGGATAAAAGATTGGTGTCAAAGCTTGATGTGTGGATTGGAAGATTCTCAGTGTCTTGTATGGTTTCTTTGGAGGAGGATGGATTTCGTTGGATCTTTTCAGGTGTTTATGGTCCTAATGAAGATGAGGTGCGGTTGTTGTGGGAGGAGCTTCGGGCGATCCGAAGGAGACGACCTCTTCCGTGGTGCATTGGAGGGGACTTTAACGTTATTAGATCCCCGACTCAGAGGTCGATAGGGGGGAGGTGGACTTTGGCTATGGAACAGTTTTCGGACTTTATTGACGATTCTTAGTTGATTGACTTACCATTAGATGGAGCAATGTTCACTTAGTCCAGTGACACAGTTTCTCCTATGCTTTCTCGGTTGGATAGATTCCTTGTGTCCGGTGATTGGGAAGAGAAGTTTCCATATTTGGTGTAGGCAATGTTGGCTAGACCACTTCGGATCATATTCCTTTGGTTCTTGATTGTGGGGGTCTCCAGAAAGAAGCTCTCCTTTTAGATTTGAGAATATGTTGCTTCGAGCAGAGGGTTTTATGGAGAGGGTTCGTTCTTGGTGGGACAGTTATGACATGATTGGCACCCCAAGCTTCATCCTTCCAGGTAAATTGCGTCAATTGAAGGAAGACATTAAAAGGTGGAATAAGGAAGAGTTTGGGACCTTGGAATGGAGAAAGAATCGAGCGTTTACAGAGATTGCTAATATTGATTGTATAGAGGGGGTGAGTGATACTGGGGAGGCTTTGAGAAAAAGGAGGGCGGTTTGTCAAACAGAGATTGCTGAGATTGCAGTGCTTGAGGAGATTTCGTGGAGACAGAAATCTTGAGCTCTATGGTTAAAGGAGGCAGACTGTAACACGAGGTTCTTTCATAGACTTGCTAATGCCCGTAGAAGGGGAAATCATATCAGGAGGATTTGGGTGGGTGGAGTGTTGTTATGCAAGGATGAGGAAGTGTGTAGTGAAATTGCATCTTTTTATCAGAAGTTGTTCACTGAGACTTCTAGTTGGAGACCTTCGCTTGGGGGGGCTTCATTTTGACTCGATTTCTGTTGATGAGAATGTTGGGCTTGAAAGGCCTTTTACCGAAGAGGAAGTGCTTATGGTGCTAAAGAGCTGCAATGGGGTTCTGATGGTTTTTCCATGAGATTCCTATTGGAGAGTTGGGAGGTGCTTAAGGGAGAGGTGATGGGTACATTTCATGCCTTTCACTCTCAGGGTCGCTTTGAGAGGAGTTTGAAAACCACATTCATTGCCCTTATTCCTAAGAAGGGGGGAGCGTCGGATGTTAGGGACTTTAGACCTATTAGTTTGTTGGGGTGCATTTACAAATTTATAGCTAAAGTTCTTGCTTTAAGATTGAGGGAGGTGCTCGATGGGGTTATATCGGATTCTCAAAACTCTTTTGTTGGAGGTTGCCAAATTCTTGATTCAGTTCTTATTGCTAGAGAATGAGTGGACTCTAGGTTGTGTAGTGGGGTTTCGGGGGTGCTATGCAAGCTGGACATTTAAAAGGCCTATGATCGTGTTTCTTGGAGCTTTCTTCTTTATCTATTGGAAAGGATGGGTTTCGGTGAGAGATAGAGAAGTTGGATTGTGTTTTGCATCGCATTTTTTTTGCAATTCAAGGGGTTTCAGGCAGGGAGATCCGCTCT